CGTCAGCTGAAGATGTGAAGGATTGGTGGAAGAAAGAACTTCCTCAAACAAAAGGATTTTCCGACTCTCCGTGTTGGATTTTCTTTTATATATACATTTATATATTATGCTTATAACTTTTGTAAAAACCCAATATCACACTAGTATGGCTGCATATCGCCACTGATGGTGGGCACTGAGGCACTGGTGACGATATACAGCCATATCACACTACTACTGATCGCTTCTGATATTGCTCATATATAAATATTCAGTTAAGCGTTTTCTTAAGGTAAATTAACTGCAGCTCAACAAATCATTCTAAATCAGGTAAGTGAAAATATACAGTTGAAGTCAAAATTATTAGCCCCTGTGTATTTTCTTCCCAATTTCTGTTTAACGGAGAGAAGTTTTTTTCAACACATTTCTACACATAATAGTTTAAATAGCTCATTTATTGTTACTGATTTATTTTACCTTTGCCATGATGACAGTAAATAATACTTTACTACATATTTTTCAAGACATTTCTGTACAGCTTAAAGTGACATTCGAAAAAAAAATAGCTTAAAGGGGCTAATAATTTTTGGCCTTAAAATGGTGTTTAAAAATGAATAACTGCTTTTATACTAGCCTAAATAAAACAAATACACCTCCAAAACACAAAATATTATCAGACATGCTGTATATATATATATATATATATATGTGTATATATATGTGTATATATATATATATATATATATATATATATATATATATATATACACACACACATACAGTTGAAATCAGAATTATTAGCCAACTTTTTTCTTTTTTATTATTTATTAAATATTAAGTATAATATTTAATGTACAAATTCTGCTTTTTTACTGATATGTTTCTATAGGATTTTTAGTTCACTTAGTAGACAATAGTGGTAGAATGTTGCTGTTAATCCATAATGTAATTATATTTTCAGATTTATTTATTTATTTAATTTAAAAGCCTGTGCCATAGGAAATGCAATTATGACACCCCTTCCCATGCGGAACTCTTTTGGCACATTAAGTAGTGTGGACATGCACTGTCATTGAGGTGAAAAGGGAGAGGGAAAAAGTCTCACTCTTATCATTCTTACGGTCAGAGAGTGATTTCTCCAGAGTGTCTTTTTTCATTTCCTGATTTGGGCCGGAGGAGAATAAAACGAGACAGTTTGTCTGTGGATGAATAGAGCTGACCCATTAATGTGACAAGTCGTCCTCCCCTACGGCTACTGAATGTATACTATCCTGGACCGGCTACTGCTACTGAATCCATTCCCACACATGCAAAAACATTGCAGATCTGTCGCTTATTGCTAACATAGCTCAACACGCCGGCGGTTTCGTAAACACATTTTAAGAGCTATTGACAGAAAGAGATCCCTCTGAAGTGTTTGCGAATGTGAAAGAGAGCGCTCTTGTTCCTTTGTTTACCTAATAAACCCTTCCATTGTTTTGACACATAATTAATCAAAGGCAAGAGAATGACATGACATTGTGAAAATCATTAGAGGAATAATGAGAAGCAGGAGCGCAGCGAGCAAAACAGCGATTAATGTCTTACAGCGCACATCTCCGCCATGCCGCAACAAAAGGCCTTTGAGTGACATCGCTAATTCGACTCGTCGTCATCAAACAACAACTGGTTTAAAAACAACAAATGAGAAACATTGAAAAAGAACGAACAAACCAACACTTTGTGTAATCGTGCTGATGTTCCGTAAATATGTGGTGCGATGCGTCTTGTAAAGCTTTTCATAGCCTCCATCACAGTTAGCCTAGAGCCTATTGTATTCAATTAAATCCACGTGTCTCAACAATAGCCTAATTTTGTTGTAATAGCACCATAAATCTGATTGATATAATAATTCAGTTCCACCAATTGAATGTCAACACCATCATGCGCTAAGTTTTAAATACGTCTGCAGGAATTGTTACACTTGGATATGTGTTAAATGTAACTTGTGAAGCTTGTAATGGCCCTTTTCGCATTTCGCACACCATTTAGTCATTCATAATTAATGCAGAGTTAATTAAGGCCTTCTCACAGTCATTAACGAGATGGTAATTCTAATTAAATAGAAACACACTTTTAAGTAGAGTCTAATATTGGCTTCTCATTGATTCAAGTTTGATTAAAAAAGATTAAAGATCATTTTAGAAGCGCTATATGAGGTAATGTGGTATTAATAGTATTGATAATGGCAGAGCTGTGCGTTTTTTTTTTAATGTAGATTTTCACATCTGCATTTATTCTACCAGCAAGCAGGATATTTAAATGAATAACAAACACTAATTATTATTAATGAAAGGATACAATATTTATTATTTTCATTCCTTCTCTGTTAATGTCTGATAATTGATGCCTCGGGCAGAATATCATTAACCACACATAAAACCCTGTCCTCAATCGTTCGTTTCAGCTGAAAATGTGCTAAAGAAAGCCAGTATACATGTAGTAACTAGATTAAAGAATAAAAAATAATAATGATTGCATTGGATTTAGGGAGTAATAATTATATAAATCATCCAAAATGTTGAAAAAGAAGAAAACCTAATTAAATAAGCTTATAAAAAGGGCAGGTTCTTTTGTGGTGTGTGTACCACCCACTATAGAAGAGATAGCACATGATGGAATGATGGACAAATTTGTCAGTATAATGAACCACTACTGTAATCCCCTTTTGGATGCAGTCCAAGCTCGGGATTAATTCAGCTTAGGTGTTTTTACCAACAGTGATCAGATGACCAAAGTCATACTAGATGAATTATGCTGAATTGTAATAGCATTAATACTGTAGATACAGTATGGACTAGTGTTTATTTGTTGTTTGAAACGAGTTAAAGGTGACCAAGAATTTCCTTAATATTATTGCTTTTTTAAATATGTTATATATTTTATAATATGTAGAGTGAATGTGAATTTCCCTTTGAGATTAAAAAAAATCTAAACAAACAAATAATCAATACATATTGCTAATTGCTAAATGTAGTGTTTGCATTGGAGCAATAGAAACAGCTGATTGGTCAAGCTTCAGTTTGAGATCTTTCAATTCAATCAGTTTAGCCAATGAACATAAGTTACAACACCAAAGAACACAGCTGAAATGCCAAACCACATCCATGGTGCCTAAAGCCCAGCTTTGGCACAAACAACAAACAAAACTGAAACTTACCTGGCTAGCTGGCTAAACCAGCTTCACAGTCAGGTGTTCTTGATTAAAACAAGCCGAAACACAACAAAAAACTCCACACAAATCTTGAGAGGATCCTCATAGAGTGGCATTAAATGCTGCTTGGAAAAAAAGTTATAGGATTGGTGATGGTGATGCTGTGTTTTATAGAAATGCTTGAATATCCTGGGAAGTCTGATCAATAGAAATTAGATCTGATGGGTATATGTATGGGTAGGGAAAATGAAAACTACAACTAAGACTATTGGTTAAAACATATTTTCGATAACTGAAAAAAAACCCCATAAAATTAAACAACTAAAGCTAAATAAAGCTGGCAAAAAGTAATTCTGTTTTCAGAATTAAAAAAAGCACTCATTCTTTGGCAGGAAACCTGATCTGTAGCTGTTTTATTTGTACCTGTAGATGATGCCTTTACAGTCAAACACTTTACTCGAGTGCATGATTATATACAAAATTCACATTTTATATATAGACATTGCCAAAAACACGTAAACTAGGCATATTTACCACACATGAATTCAGATGTACAAGCATCTAAGTGTCATGTGAAAATTTATTCTAAAATCATGTTCGTGGCAATGAAAAGGCCACCATGAAAGTAAAATTACTGGACCTAATCTAAAACTAAACTGAAATGTAGTCAATAATTATTGAAATAAACACAAATTTACAGTGAGACCATGCTTTATTCAGACTGGATCCTTATGATTGATTCTTACATGCAATTCATTGGCAATAGAATAGATAAAAACATCAGCATTCAACCACCAAAATCATATAACTTTGGGCATATTATTTACGGTAATAAAGCAGCTCATTATTTTTTCATTCTATTTCGCTTCCCATTTTACAGCATGAACCAACCATCATACTGCCGAGCTGGCCCTTATGTAGCATCACCATTGGACAAAAACAAATGCAATAAAACGACATATGTAAATTTGCAGTAGTATGATGCAACAACTACCAATGGAAGATTCTTCACCTGCAATGTATGAAAAACTACTGAAAACTAACCACAGTGAATCAGTGACATTCGATGATGCAATTGCTTTTAAAAAGGGCTTTGAAGTTTTTTTTTTTTTTATATTATTATTTTGGAATATGTAAAAACTATCCCAGCACTTTAAAGGAATACTCCACTTTAACAAAATACTTTCATTTTAAAACTCCCCCCAGTTGAATTTTACCATCTTTGAAGCTATTCAGCCGATCTCTGGGTCTGGTGGGAGCCCTTTTAACTTAGCTTAGCATAGAGCATTTAATCAGATTAGACCATTAGCATCTCACTACAAAATTGCCAAAGATTTTTGATATCTTTCCTAATTAAAGCTTGACTCTGCTGTAGTTACATTGTGCACTAATAAAAGTTGCTATTTTCTAGGTCAATATGGCTGGAAACTGTACTCTCATTCTGGCGTAATAATCAAGGAAATTTGCTGCTGTACCATGGCTGCAGCAGGCGCAATGATATTACACAACACCTGAAAATAGGTAACTTCCAAGCTGACTACTTGCTTGCACAAGGACCATGCTGGTCATGCAGCATAATACAGAATACAAAATGACACTAAAACATTATTGAAAGTCCTTAATATTTTTGAGTGAGATGCTAATGGTCTAATCTGATTCAATGAATTATGTTAAGCTAAGCTAAAAATGCTCTCGTCAAACCTAGATCAGCTGAATGGATTCAAAACTCAACTATATACACTAGAGAAGTTGTAAAACAAGCATATTTTGATTAAGATTTCCCATATTAATTAAAAATGAAACAAGAAACAATTTCAAATGGTCTTACCTTGTCTTCTTGGTCACTCTCACTGTCACACTGTAAGACAAAGACAAAGGTGACATTAGAACTGTGCTAGATGTGATGGAGCTAACCCCACCCCCACCCCCCACCCTGGTTTTAAATATAAAGTCATTATGAAGTGGAAATCTGATTTAGGCAGTCTCGCACTGCACAGCTCATCAGCAGAGTAATAAAAGTCTAAGCAGGAAAAGGCTGTTCTTATCTCACTCTGTGGCCAGGCCTCATTACATCTGCCTATTACCACCAGCAGGGCTTTTTTTTTTTATACCCAGACACCAACTAGAGTACGAGTCAAACTATCTTCACGTCTCATAGACCACAGACACACTGCAGCTAAATACATCTGTCACTCTGCAGCTGAATGCTTAAGCATGCTCTGTGTACACAGTCTGATTGTTTACATGCATTTGCAAGCAAATTCATTCCCGAAATCAATCAGAAAAAACAAATGAACTGATTATTTGTGTTAAAAATAGCATTCAGACTTTTCAGTTGTTGGCACTGAGGAGGGCAGGCTTTCTGATTAGTTGGGTTCTGAATCATATTCTGACTGCATGCTTTTTTATTCAATAAAAATAATCAGTTTGATTTGATTTTGATTTATCAAGGGTAGCGTTTCAGATAATTTAAAACTTAATTCGAACTGCTCAATAATAGAACCAAAACATCTGTTTTTGATCAACTAAAATAAGCAAGTTCTTAGGAATCATTCTTGTTCTGAATCTGTTAACACTGATCACAATGTGTTTTGATTCACTAAAAATGTTATCATGGCAAATCAAAAATATATCATGATAGTCATTTGATTATAAATCAGACTACACTGATCAAACTGTTTTTGATTCACTAAAATCAACCAGTTCATCAGAGTAGTTTGTTTTGTGTTAGGTTGTATGTTTCCGATTTAATAAAATAAGCCAGTTCATTAGGAGTCTTTTTTTTTCAGAATCAGACTACATTGGTCAACTTATATGTATTCTTGATTCACTAAAAAAAAACTAGCTTGTGTTCATCCGTGATACGGATTTTTACACTACGTCTGATTCTGAATCACAAGATCATATGAGTTTTGTGAATTTTTGTAGTGTGGCATGGTGGCTCAGTGTGTAGCACTGTCACCTCACAGCAAGAAGGTCCCAGCAGGGCCAGTTGGCATTTCTGTGTGGAGTTCGCAAGTTCTTACTGTGTTCTCATGTTTTTTTTTCCAGGTGCTCTGGTTTCTCCTACAGTCCAAAAACATGCAATATAAGTAAATTGGGTAAACAAAATTGGGCGTAGTGTGTGAAAGAGTGTATCGATGTTTCCATCACTGGGTTGCGGCCTGAGAAATATAAAATCATAAGTGGGAACAGTTAGCAGTTTAGTCTGCTGTAGTAACCCCTGATAAAAAAGCTGAAGCGACTAAGCTGAAGGTAAATTAATGAATGAATGATTTCTTCATTCATTCATTCATTTTCTTTTCGGTTTGTTCTTTATTATTCCGGGGTCACCACAGCAAAATGAACCGCCAACTTATCCAGCACATGTTTTACACAGTGGATGCAACTCATCTCTGGGAAAAAAGTCCGTACACACTCATTCACACTCATACACTACAGACAATTTACCCTTCCCAATTCACCTGTACGGCATGTCTTTAGGCTGTGGGGGAAACCAGAGCATCCTGAGGAAACCCACACGAACGCAGGGAGAACATGCAAACTCCACACAGAAGTTCTAGAAGATATTTAATTTTACAAATGTGATTTACATTTTTATTTCTCTGATGTTGTGAACTTTATTTTACTAATGGGTAATTATCATATTCCTTGTTGTAAATGGAAAACATGTAGGCCCTCTTTTAGATGTTTTCTTTCTGAGGTAGGGAAAGTGGCTCAAAGCTTCAAATACTTCAGAAACCAAAATAAATTAACTGAAGCTCTGTGTACTTCATTTTCAGAATATTTATTGTTATAGTGTTTTTCCCTTTTTGGTAGTTCTTTTGTACTGTTCCTTGTTGCAGCTGTAACAAATTTAATTATTTTATTTATTTTAATAGTAAACATGCCTTGCAATGTTGATTGTTCCCTGTTTTGTGATGTAAACTTTTTACAACAATAAAAAAAATGAATTTTTGAATCTATTCAGCCAATCTCTGGGTCTGGTGGAACACTTTTAGCTTAGCTTTGCATAGATCAGTGAATCTGATTAGACCATTAGCATCTCGCTACAAATCCACTAAATATTTTTGATAATTTCCCAATTAAAGCTTAACCCTGCTGTAGTTTTATTGTGTACTAAGACTGACAAAAAATAAAAGTTGTTATATTTTAGGTCAAAATGGCTAGGTACTGTCTTAATAATACGCAATAACGTAATAATCAAAGAACTTTGCTGCAGTGCCATGGCTAGAGCAGGTGCAATGAAATTACGAAGCACTTAAAAATAGGTAACTGTGTTACATCCGACTGTGCTACGACCAACAGATCGCACTATTATGTTTTTCTCTTCTTTTTCATTCGTTTATAACCTGTTTTAACACATTTTTATCTGTTTTTCAATCATTTTAAATTAAATTAAATTAGTTTTTATTTCTGTTTATGTAAAGCACTTTGAATTGAAACTGTGTATGAAATGTGCTTTATAAATAAACTTGCCTTGCTTTGCCTAACTTCCAACGTGACCCTTTGCTTGCACAAGGATATGCCAGAATGAATTTCTGTACTGGGACCGATTGGTCATGTTTTTTATTCTTATTTATTTATTTAATTTTTTTTTGTTTTACTATCAAAATCAGACTACACTGCTCTTTTTTTGTGCTTTTGATTCTGGTTCAGGTTGTTTCACTGTATGTTTTTGACTCACTAAAAAGTTGCCAAAACTGTCACCTTAAAAATATATAATACTGATCCTACCTCATATTAAAGGTAAATCCAAAAATAACAAAAATAAGAGCTTAATAATCAAAAAGAAAGAAAACCACAACCAAAACCTATATAAGAGAAACCCACATATGACAGCGGGGTCTCTGAGTAGAATAGACGAATAAAAAATTAATGAATTAATGCAAAATAATACAAAAACGCTGAATTTCAGCCTTTCTGTCCAATTTCAATTTCAAGGTCCACTTAATTCTTTTTCTGCTAATTAGCTATGAGCACACAGATGACTTGGCTAGGAGAGATGCGTTTAGAGTTTGAGCTTGGACTCCCTAATGAAGGCCTGCTAAAGGAAGGCGGGGCTTGGGGCCTTCAGGGCCAATTACACCCAGCAGAGCTTAACCCTGTGGCAGGCACAGATGATTGACAGTTCTGGAAGCCGTATTCCTGCAAGGACTGTGAATGTGAGAGGAAGGGACAGAGTGAAGGGAAGTGAGGATTTTTTTTCTGGCACAAGCCTCTCCCGTCTGACCTGATACAGGGCCTGCTGAGCAGCATCCAATTTACAGCCCCAATCCAACGGGATTTGAGACATACGGGGCTCATGTATTATACATTACCAATAAACACACACATACCAGATGTTAATAACCTACTGCTCCTGTGTGTGCCAGCCTGCTAATAGTGTTAGAATTACAGTAAAATTGCAAGAATGCACAACCAGTATTGTATTAAGAGCAAAAATCAAGTTCTGAAAGTAAACCTCCATTCCTTTTCTCAGATTTTTGAATAATTATTCAAGACAGACCCGTGATAAGAGTCGCTGAAGGTATTAGTCAATTGTTTTTGCTTTTGTTGAACTCATCTGTATGCATTTTCAACATCTATTTTAAAAACTATTGTCAAAAACTGTTTTATTGGAAAACTACATTACCCATGCACAATATATCGTTTCAGCATCGATATCGTCACTCGCAATAGTCATATCAAAATTATACGCAATATTGAGTCTGAATTATTATTTATGATTTTGCAAGTGTTTTTTGAGCCCTGTGAATCTGTGAGAGTTTGAAAATCATGTAGGCACTAGAAATTGTACCATTTGTAACTTTAACAAATTAATAACAATGAATTTCATTGAATTGTTTCTAAAATGAAGACGATGCTGTATTACTTTACATTTTTTTATTCAGTTACTGTATATCTGAATACAGCTTGACTCTTTGGAAAACAATAAAACGCTGTTTATATAATCGGTATCTTTTTCTTTATTAAATTTATCTATGCCTGTTTCTTTTATTTTATGCCAATGCACTCTCCTACAGAAACATTCCAATCAACCTAAAATTATGAATTCTTTCCAAATAGTTCAATACATCTCTTGATATTGTCTTAATATCGCATTATAGTGTATATCTCAGAATAAAGAAATGTCACAATGTTTGATTTTTCCAATATCGTGCAGCCCTATTACCCATGATGTTATAATTCTATTAAATATGTATTGCTTTAAATAATCTTGTGATTCACCTCATACTCTAGTTCTTTGATTTAGTTCATAGCTTATAAAAATTAAACAGACTTCTATTTTAAAATCAATGGGAAAATTATTCACCTGCTTCGAATGTTATCACTCGATTGAATGGGTGTTATCAGCTGATAGATATGGGACAGTAGGGGCCTTTTGCGCCAACTAGTAAGCTCAGAAGGCTGTTTTCATCCATCCACATGGTTAATTAGCTATACTTATAGAGAAGACTCCGTATCCAGATCTGTTTTTTTTTTTAATTTAGGTTTAGAGTTGGGGGAGACAATAATAAAATAAAATTGATGGGAAATTTAATAAATAATATAAATAATTTTTTATATTATTCTATATTATACTATATTATTCTATATCATTCTATATTAATATATAATCTATAGCTGATTAACCATGTCAATGGATGATAGCAGCCTTCTGAGCCTACTAGTAGGTGCAGAAGGCCCCTACTGGCCCATATATATCAGCTGATAACCACTGATATCGTCCATTTTATCGAGTGATAACATTTAAATCGGCTCAATTGTTCGACAACCACAGTGTAAAAAATTATGCTGTCTTATTTTTCAGTTGAATCAAAAAAACTTACTGTACATTAATCAGATAGACTAAAA